AATCATGAAACAAAGTAAACCTTACCCTTTCATTCCCTTGGGCCTCATCTTTCCCAAAGTTTTCTACCTGGAGCGAGAGCCCTTTAACCCTAGATGAGCCTACTCAGATCTGAATTATGACTGGAATTGAATGGGTAAACAGATTGAACATACTCAGCTATTTCTGTTGAAATCATGAATAAGATTTCAGGTGTTTTTGCTTTCTTTTTAAAAATCAGTTTACAGCCTTTTCTTCCTCCTCCACCCATTTCCTCCCTGAGTCAGTGTCCATTAACCCTCTTTGCACAGATACCTCTGTCTTGATCACCCACGATACAGTTTTCCTAGGCTCTAAGAAACAATAAGGGTACTTGCAAACAAATACTTCTGCTTGATGACTATTGCTCATGAATTGAAATAAGGTCCTTGTTAAAGATGACTGATACACATTTTCCAAACTGACTTAAGCTATTTTATCTCTGCAAAGCACAAAATAATTTTGTGGAAAAGCTCTATTGCTTTCCAAGAAGTCAAGTTGAGAAGTTTTAGGGATGAATATAAACATCCTGTGTTTTCTGGAAGCATTCACTTAGGGGGTGAAATGGGGTGGTCCATCTACAAACAGGTGTTTATTCTCAGTCTGTGATTGATTGATTCATTCCCTTGGCAAATATATTTGGAAGCACTTATATAGAAGACAATGTGCTAGGCCTCAACATAAATCATACTTGTATATCTGCTGCTATAGGACCAAAGTAGCAAGCCTGAAATATTTAGGCGTGGGGGTGGAGAAGGAAAAGGAGGCAATTAAAGTGTTCTGAGAAGTGAAAGATTATCACATAACAGGCATCCTCTAATTTCTCCAACATGGTTTTGCTTGTTCTTTCCATATATCATAGTGCAAAAGCACTGCAGCTTGAGTTCCAGAAGGAATAGAGACTGGGAAAAACAAAAACATGAATAAGAGCTTGATGAAGAGCCAGAGATTAATTAGGTCTGACTTGGGCTTTGCACTCACTGTTCAACTTATTGGAGATCTCTGGTCATTATAATACTTTATTCACGATCAAGGAGCATGTTTTGCTGAGTTTTGAGTATATGACATGATTCTTAGATGGTATTTAAAGAACGCTGAATGCTTCTTAGACTGTTGAAATTAGCAGGTTGGATTCTTATTTTACATTTTGAATAGGTAACATTTATACAGTTCAAGATTATGGAGTAAAAACATCTTCCTTTTTGTCCTTCAATTGCCTAATAACACACCCTGAAAGAACTGATCCACAATAATAGTTTTATGGATCCATATTTTATGGGTAGAGTAAGTAGGATTCTTAACCAGCTTTCTAACTTGAGAATAAGCCTCATCTCAGCCCTGTAACAACATGTCCTTCTAGAATATATCCTGTTCTACAGGACTTAGGTGAATCAGGAGTTCAGATTTTATTTTCCAGATGAGCTGTTCACAAGGGGTGAAAGGATGAAAAAAAAAAAAAACTAGAAGAGACACAAAATGTATAATTTAATGTGTTATTATTCTGAGAATTTCATACTGGTTAACCAATCTTTGCTAAAAGTTAAATTGTCAAATTTTTAAAATTTTGTTTTCCTAAGGAGAGCTATATCTGGCTCTATGACGACTACAAAAATAATAACCCTTGGTAACTGCTATATAGTCTTCTAAGCACTTAATATACATACCACTGAAGCTTGACAATAACCAAATGTGAAGAAAATAAAGAACAAATCAAGCATGTTATAATTTCCAAATCTAAATTGAAGCTCCAAAGTCTTCACTGTTAACCTGCCTGATATTAATTATCCATCTGATAGTGAAGAACCAAAAATAAAGTGTAACCCAGGCTAAATGGGGGAAAAACTTACCTTTTTCTTTGTGACTTGTACCGACAGAAGAGTGACAAAAATAACCTTGAGATGAGCTCCAAGGTTGCCTAGGAATTGAGAATGCAGACAAAAAGGGGGAAAAACTTATCTTAATATGCTTGCTTCTTTTGACTTATGACCCTTCTATTTTTAGTTTCTCCTTATCCCTGAAAGATTGGAGTCATCAAAACTTCCAAATAGTTGGAATTCAAGAACTAAAAAATGGGATTATTATAACCCTGTGAAAATTCTATGATGACCAGTCATACTTCAAGTTAGCCAGGGAAAGATTCTGCTCCTTTTTAGGTCCCCAAACCTTGTCCCATTCAGTTGGAAGTAGTTCTAGAAGATGAACCACTGCCCACTGCCTGTCGAGAAAGACAATAGGATGGAGACAAAGGAGGGAATTGTGACAGGCCTGGTAATCATAAATTCCTGTCTTGTCCTGCTCCTCCTTGCTCTGTCCTGTTTAGCTTTTCTTGTAGAAAAACCAGAAAACCAGGCAAAATCCAACTGAAACCAAGATGGAGCTGAAGTAAGACAAGATTTAAGCCACAGCCTCATGATCATAGTAAAAAGTATGCCACTGGCCTCATGACAGATCTGGCCAAGGCCAACCTGAGGAGAAAGGGGTGTGAATACCGTAGCTGGAAAAACCTACCTATTTCTCTGAACTTCTCTTGCAATAGATCCTATAGCCTCTCCCCTCCCTTGGTTCCCCTCTATGTAACTCTTGGCTTTTCCTCAGTTTAGGAAGATGGTCTTTGGGATGGTAATCTGCCATGCATGTCCTCATGTTTGTGTGCACCTGATTAAACCTGGCATCTTTTCACCAACCTTGTGTCTGAGTTTTGCCTTCTGAGTAACTAGACACCAGATCCCCAAGAAGCTTCTATAACAAAGGCATGCAGTAACATTTTCAAATAATTTTTCTTATTCAAAAAAAATTTTTTTTCAAATTTTATGGTCTGGGCTCCCTAACTGCAGCCGCTTCAGCAAGAGTTTGATTCCTGGCCAGGGAGGTGACCCACATGGCGCAGCAGACCTCTCCTGGCCCACCTGCTGCTCCTCTCAGCAGTGGACTTTGTCTGTCTGTTCTGTTCCCCACTCTGTCTCTGGTGAATCCTCTCACTGTCCCTGCATCTGTGGCCTGTACCCCAGTTCTCTATGCATAAATAGGTAAATCTTTATAAAAAAAACTTTTATGATCCAACAAAATAGCCTATGGTGTTTAAATGCAGGTTCTCAGCCCTCAGAGACCTACAGAGTTAGAATTTCTGAGGGAAGGGTTTAGGAATGCTTATTTTACTCAGCACAGTAAATGATTCTAACTCAGGTGACTTGTAAACATACTTGGACTAATATACCTGTAATGGTTTGTGTTTTCCAAAGTTAGTATAATCATACATACTCTGCGAGTTTCTTCTTGACCTTCTCATACCAAGAAGTGTAGTCTAGGCTTCCAACCTTTGAAACTGGGTGAGCTTTTTGTGACTAGTGACCACTTGATTTTCAAGGCTAAGTCAAAAGAGGGGATTTAGCTTTTGCTTGCTAGAACATTCACTCTTGGAACACAACCACCATGCAATAAGGAAGCCCAAGCTACCCCAAGGAGGCCCACTTGCAGAGGAACTAACAGCACCAACTTGTCAACCATGTGAACCATCTTTGAAGTTGACCTGGCCTCAGTCAAGCTTCTCAGGTTGACACAGCATGAAGCAGAGATGTGCTTCCTGTCAAAACTGCAAATTCAAGAGCTAAATAAATGTATTATGTTAAGCACTAATTTTGACTGGTTTGTTATGCAACATTTGCTAACTTGGCCAGTATTCTAACCAATTGTCATGCTCTGCCTTCCTGTAAAAGTGAAAGCACTTGGGCCCTAGCTAAAATATTTTGAAAGTATCCTTGCCCAATATAATTTACTTTTTCAGATTTTTCTAGTAATCAACCACTTATTTCAGATTTCTGGTTATTTTAAATTTTCACTATTACTTCTAAGTTTGGGTTCTCATCTAAAAAGGACTGGGAGTAAGAGTTTACCTTATATACTTTATAATTTTGATAACCCATGTACTCACTTAGCATTGTGCCCAGCAGATTTCTTGCTGTCATAGTTTCTACTTCTTTAATGCACTTTCTTTTTCTTTTACAGCTCATCGCTATTTCTCATGCTGGTGTGTTTTCTTGTTAGCTCTTCCTTATCAGGTCAGGCAGATTTACTCAGTTCTTTAGCACTACACTTATCTTTTGGGAAGCCTTCTCTGCCTTAAACCATTTATGCCTCTGCGCTCAAAAGCACATTGTAAGAATCTCTGTTACATTGCATAACACACTGGATTGCAATTAATTGTTTTGATTTTTCACTGGACTTCCTAGAAGGGAGTCAACCTCTTTGTAATCTTACCCACTCACCTAACACCTGGAACTACTTTATTCTTTCACCCCATAGGAAACAATGTAGTTAGCAGTTAAGGGGTCCGTGTTTTGGCAGAACTACCTGGGGACAAAACATTTTCTTCTGTATAACTTCAAAAAAAGTCTCATTTGTAACGTGGAGGCAAAAAATTTTGATTAATGTGAAAACGAAGTAAAACAGCACCTACAAGACACCTATCCCGTAACAGCCAAGCATCAGGATGTCCTGTAATCCTCCTTTAGGGCTCCAAACGCGGTGGGTAATTTCTCTTTCAAGGATTATTCTGGACTAATTCTTTCCTAGGTCATTCCTCCAGGTAGCAACTTTGTGTCTCAACCACTAGGTTCAGACTTTCAAAAGTCATTCTTTTCCCCACCCCTCACCCCCCACCTGCTCCAAGTTCTTGAATTTCCCTTGCCTGAGGGGTGTGTCAAAGGGCCGATTCAAGCGAAACTTAAACATGGAAACTCTCTGGCTAGTGTTTTTCTGGATAACTTTTTGAGACCTACAGTCAGGAGTTTTGCTTCTGAGTTTCTATCTTCGAAGTCAGCGTATTCATCCCGCTGAAGTCGTGGCCCTCAGCGCCCAGGGGGCGCGCAAAGCAGACAAGTTGAACGAGCGAACGTCGGAACGAATGAATGGGCTGCGTCGGCGACTAGGCCTCTGTTACGTCGCCCACCAGCGCCGGCGTGGTGCAGATAAAGGCACTGCGGGGGGGGCCGGTCGCCCAGTCCCACCCACGCGCGGCAGGCTCGGCCACGGGCGTCGGAGCACCCCGCCGCTCCGCGCCACCTCCCCCAAGTCCCTGCCCCGCTGCGGCGCGTCACTTCCGCCACCCCTGACCGGGGCTGGGGCGGGGAACGCGGGGGAGGGGGCCAGGTCCGAGGGAAGACCGCCCGCGCCAGAGCCCGCGCCCGAGCAGGGACTACATTTCCCGAGGGGCCTCCGCGGCAGCAGTAGCGGCGGCGGGCGCGGCAACGTCCCCCGGAAGTGGAGCCCAGGACTTCCACTCGTGCGTGAGGCGAGCGGAGCCGGAGACAAGACCACAGGCCGAACTCGGGATCTGACAAGATGGCCGGGCTGCCCCGCAGGATTATCAAGGTAACCGCCCAGACCGGCCGCCGGCTCTCCGCTCTGCTCGTGCCCGTCCAGCGGCCCTGGCGGCGCGGCCTCTCGCTTCCTCCTTCCCGCGGCCCGCGCTGGGAGGCCCGAGGCACCGCGGAGAGGGTCTGGCCGCCGCGGCGAGGGAAGTCGGGCGCTGGGGAGGGGGCGCCGGTGAGACTTCCGGCCGCGGCGGGGCAGCCTGGCGGCGGGGACCCGGGGCTTCCAGGCAGCTGCCCAGCGCGGGCAAGGCCTGGCCTGCATTCTGTCGGAGGGCAGGGGCTGCGGGGTTGCTGTACTCTGGTTTTGGGCGCGGGCCAATGCGGCCTTTCAGACCACCCCCGGGCGAAGGCCGCGGACGCGCGGGAATCGCGGCGGGACTCGGACTCTCGGCTGGAGTAGTGGCCCGACACGGCCCCTGGAACCCGGAGCTCCCATCTCGGTCCGGGCGGGAGCGCGGGGGTGCGACAGCCCTGAGATCAGAATGAATGAACGGGGAGGGTGAGGCCGGGCGGGGCCCTGGGCCCCAGGAGGGCCGCGAGTCCTGCGGCATTCGCACCTTCAGCCCCTGGCCTCGGGGTGCAGCAACGTGGGGGCTCAGTGGCTGGCTGCGCTCGCTTCCGCAACTTCTTTAAATACGTTTCCGCTGGTTATCTTCTAGAAGTGATTTTACTCTGGCTGGTAAACTCTTTCGGAACTGTTTCTGTTCAAAAGGAAATAGCTTAGCATCAAGATTGGGGTGGGAGGGCGCAGGTATGGGGTATCTTGTGAAATCTTTTGCACAGAATCTAGATTTTTGCGCTTTAATTATTAAACCGTCCTTTGGCTATGCATGTTTTGACGAGTACATATGGAACCCATGAAAAAACTAGAGATTTTGGTTTGGTAAATACTTAATACTTTAAAGTGCTCAGATGTGAAGTTTCTTGCAATTCGCAGAAACTAAGTCATAAGGCTTCTTTTTTTTTTTTCAGTTTTAGTGAAGGAAATTAGTTGAGCCTCTCAGTTGCTCAGTATGCAATTTAAAGTCACTAAATTGTAGCATCGTTTTGTTTGATATAACGCTTAATTAATCAAGGTCTAAAGTTTTGGTGGAGATGCATGCTAAGTGGAAGACCTGTTGAAGAATGATGTATTTTGTGCTTTGTACATTTGCTATTAAATAAAAACGAGACAGGAGTGTCACTTACCTAAAGGCCCTTGGTCTAGAGGTATAAGGCTTTTCATCAGGTAGAAATTCTTAGAAATCAGAAACGTGGACCAGATTATCATTGTGTGCCTGAGTCTAATATGAACCTTCACAGTGTGCAATTTGTGTTAACAGATTTGTCTCAGGTTCTCAGGCAAACTTACAGTGTGATTTTATTATGATGCAGTCATGGGGCCCTCATGGTCATGCTTATTGAGGCCCCATTTGAAAATGTGGGGTGGAGGAAAGAGTGGTGTATCCACAGGGCTTTTTTTTTTTTCCCCATAGGTTTTCAACATAACTGCAAATTGATAATCATGAAAAGTCTAAATATGTCATACACTAAAATTTTAGCATTTTTAAATTTTTTGCTTGATTCCGGGATACTCTGCAATAACATGAAAGCCTTGGATGACATACTCCGTGGAACTTTGTTTATAAATGTATAGAAACGACAGAAGGCAATAAACTGAATTCCTTATAAATCATTCATATGCCAAACAATAACTTAGTTTATAGTAGGCATTCACTTTTACTATTTAAACTAATATAGTGGTAACTCAGATAATTTTACAGTATTTTGAGAGTATCTCCTTTATCAAAAGTGCCTTGATTTGGGTTTTATCCTATAGAAGTTAGGCGCTTTTTACTTTAATGTCATTGCTTAAAAGATCTATTTCCTCCATTCTCTAGGAGTGATGAAACGATTGTTTTTTCTAGTGTCCATGGTTTTGTATCATGTAAATTTTCTGTATAAGTGAAAATGAAGTTTGCTTATTCTTTGTCAATCATAATGCAAGTTCTTTTAGGAATGTCATGGTGGGGGTGACTTTACTGTTAAGAATGATGGAAACATACCTTCTTTCTCATTTTTATTTCTATTTTTATTATTTATGTATACACACTTGGGTACAGGCCAGAGGTGCAGGGACTTTGTGAGAATTCACCAGAGGCAGAATGGTGAACAGAACAGACAGATGTACTGAAATACTGCTGGGGGAAGTAGGGAGTGGGTCAGTAGAGGTGCCATGTGGGCCACCTCCCTGGCCAGGCATCAGACTTGTGTTGAAGCAGCTTCAGAGAGCTTTACAGTACTGGTTTTTAACCCATTGCTCCACCAGGGAGGGGCCGCACATACCTTCTTTCATTGGACAACTGTTAATATGATTTTGTCTGCCTCTAAATGGTTATCATTAACATTTGCAATATTCTTCGACTGTTTGATACCTACAGTAATCTGTGATCTAATAACCCACAAAACTGCTTTCCTATTCCTAGGGTCTTAAAATTGGCCAGAGGCAGAATTTGGCTCTTGACTCATTGCGACTGTCATGAAAATGACTTGTAATGTATCATGTGAACTGGAAATAACTATATAGCATAAAATGATTTTTAAGACTTAGCATTCAAGAAGTTGCTGTCCCATTTAGATTACTTCCAATCGAGTAGCAAATTCTGTAGAAAAGAAAACTTGAATAGACACATTCTTGCCTCCCCCTATGCCCTAACCATTGTTCAGTTCCATCATTTAGTGCCAGTCCCACTTTCCTGCTTAGGAAACTAATTAGTAGCAGCAGCTAGTGTTACTTTTAACAATATAGACCATATTGCACCCCTGTTCAAAACTATGCTAAGGTTCTTTTTTACACTTAAAATAAAATTTTGGCTTTTTGTCCTTCAGCTGCAAGGCCAGGGATTTGCCTACCTTAGAAGTTATCTGATCTTGTTGCTGTAATCTTTAAGAGGCTAACCTTATTACACTCAGGGCTTTCCTCCTGTTTAAAGGATTGCTTGCTTTGGCATAGTGTTCAGTTTTTGCTCACATGTCACATTTTCAGGGTGTCTTACCTATCCTAAAACACAAATATCCCTCTTCTTGGCACTCTTAGTTTCTCTTTTTTCTCTGTTCCCTGCTCTATTATAGATCACTTATCACTACTCTTAAGGTTGTATTTTTATCTCCTCCAAAGAGCAGGGATTCTAAATCTTACAAAGAAAATAAAGACTTGAATCTTTCCTTCAGCATTGCAGTTTCCCTCCATAGACAACCATAATTTTTATTGAGTGTCCTTCCAAAAAGGCCATAGATTGGTGCGTGTATGTTTGTCCTATTCCTTTCTTCCCCATGCAAATAACTGTGATTCCTCCATCCCACACACCCACTTTATCTTTGCAGTGGCTCATTATTTTTAAAGGACTGTTTTGTGGAACCCGTGTTTACACCTCAGTTTAACTAGTTGCTTTTTGATGACTTAGATTGTTGCCACCATTTTACTATATAAACAATACTGTAATATAATCACATATTACATAGTCATAGTATTATTTTACATGTATGAGTTGATACTGAATCTTCGCAGTTCTGTGTTTAACAAGAATTTTTCTTTTTTTTCTCTTTACTCCTAGGCCAGAACTCTTAATGTCTGAAAGTGACTGAGCAAATATAGCTTAAGGTCTCATAGGAAGAAATTATCTCAAATAGGAGATAGGTCCTCCCTAATCTCTGTAATAAAGAAGCAGTAGCTATTTGGGGAGTAAATCTAATGAGATGAGTATGTGGCATTGGTTGAAATAAATTTATTTCAGTTTTATGTGTTACATTGACAGTGATAATTGGCCTCAAAATTAATAATGAAAACAATAAAATATAGCCTTCTGACATAGTAGTACTTAAAGAATTCACTTGACTAAAACTTACTAAACCAATGTGCTAAGTTTAGAATTTACCACTCTTTCCTAAATTTTACTTTTCTATTTGGGAAGGCTTAACTTTAAATTCTTATATATGTGACATGATCTGACTTTGCATTGAAACTTGAGTTATTTATTTTTTCACTGTAACATTAATTTTGATTATTAAAAAAATACAGATACCATTTTTTCTCATCACTATTTAAAAGTCACTGATTTAATGTATTTTGATAGATAAGGTAGCCCATCAGAACATGGCACGTTTATTAAGGAAAAGGGAAGTAAATAGGTGGGAAATCTTTAAAGACTTGATTTGCAAATTAGGTAGTTTTTAGAAAGAAAAATGATTCAAAGAATTAGCCCCTTTTTAAATGCTAAATATTGTCTTTGGCTGGCAATGTTTTTTCCCCCATTTTAAAAAAACAAACAAACATGAAAACTTCATGATGAAGATAAACTTGTTAGGAGTTTTATTTAAAACATTCTTAGGAGGGCCCTCCCTGGTGGTGCAGCAGGTTAAAACACAGCACTGAGAAGCTAAAGCCACTTCAGCATGAGTTCCATTCCTGTCCGCCCTGGAGATGACCCACATGGTGCCACAGACCTCTCCTGATCCGCCCGCAGCAGTGTACTTCGTTGATCTGCCTGTTCTGCTCCCCACTCTGTCTCTGGTGAATCCTCTCACCGCCCCTGCACCTCTGACCTGTATGTACCCCAGTTCTGTATGCATAAATAAATAAATCTTTAAAAAAAAATAAAACATCCTTAGGAAACAAACTCTTAAAAGGTAAAAATTTGATGGGAATAATGTGGGTCTTGGTTCTTTTGGTTGTTCCACGTTAGGAATTTTCTCACTTTCCTAGGACAGTAAGCGCTATTTTTTCCTTAAGATTTCTGGGTATTCAGGTTCTGGCTTATTTGTAAATTCCTTTCCTCTCTGGATTCTGGGTTAAGAATCCATGGATGCTTTGGGAAGTGATTAAACTTTCAGGTTGTGAAGATATTGTTTAATATGCCACCTAATGTTTTGATTTTGTAGTACGGGCATAATTGAAAGTAAGTTAAAAATAGCAGTGAGTAGTGGAGTGTTATTTTTTTTTTTCTAAATATTTATTTACTC